AGAGAATTAACTCGGCAAAAAAGCTGTTTAAATATTATAAAAACGTGTTTACAATACTAAATAGAAGAGAAAAACACAATACTAGAATATAATGAAATAAAACCACTAGTAAAATGTTGTAAAGTCAGCTTAGTTATGTTAAACAATGACTATAATTGGAATAGACTCACCTGGGAGGCTAAGCAGCAAAGAAAGAGGAGTTGGGAGGAGCCTGATGACTGGACATGCTCTGTTATACATTCTGATTGGTTAAACTTTTTACTTACTGTTAACGGTTTCTTTGCTGCTGGGAGTTTCAGTAAAGAAAGATAAGCAAATATGAAGCCTCCTGTCTTGCCATAAAATTGTTTTTATTAATACATGACTAGGCTATTAATATAATCTTTTGATTTCAGTAACAGTAAAAAACAAATTGACAATTTTCTTTAAAATCAATAATTTTGCCTTTTAAGGAGCAGACCTAGGCAAATCTGTTTTTGCAAAAGGTTTGCATGTTCAATCTCAAGAGGTTAATTAAAGTAACATTACTAAGGCATGTTCAATAAACGGTAAATTGTGGCAAGTTCACAGTGAAACTGCCAGGTTTTTGTCAAAAATAGAAGAGATAACCTGATGGAAAAGTGAATTATGAAGTATCTTGTGTTATATTTGAAATACAAAAATGTATTAGAAGGAGTAAATTTTCTGCAGTAAATACATAATTTGCGCTTTCGTTCTGCAGAAACTAATAATGTGTGCCGATATTCAAGCTGCAGAATGCAGCTCTAATAGTTTTGTCAGCATTTCCAGAATTTAGCTCAGCAACCCAAACAGGCTCAAAAAACAATGGAGGAGTGTTTCTCGATCAGAGGACTAAAGCAATATCTTTGTTAGTTACCCTATGAACCTCTCCCACCATTCTGGAGGGATGCACGAATGGGGCATCTCAGTCTCCCCCATCTTAAAGGGGTACTATCTCATGAAGACTGGTAAGACTGCAGCTATTGTTTGAGAAATTAAAGAGACACCCTAAGCACCAGAAGTATGTGAATACATCTTGCTAGCATATGTGTGTTTTTTTCATGTTGTCAGTTGTAGGTGTTCATAAAAATAAGAATACAAATCAAAAAACATCCTAAGAAAAACTCCTCTTTTCATCTCTTACTTCCAAGAAGAAGTTGAGACACTTAGAAAGAGATGTACATCTCCAAAAATCACTGTGCAAGGTCTTCTCGTTGAAGTGAATGAGGTGCTTGCACATATACACACGACTAGAATTGCAAGTAGACAGAGTAGAGAGCTACCTAAGGGTGCCTGTCTGCAAGAGGTACCTACACTGATAGTACTATGTAATTGTTTGTTTTTTATGGTTTTGAATATATTTTGAGGAATATGTTATAAATAAGTGGGTGATACTTCCCTCTTTTGTCCTCCCTCTGTGGCAAGGAATACATAGTTTGGGTTTAGGGGAGTTTCTTGTACATACAAATTCTGCACTTTTTTATTTTTTTAAATTCTTTATTTTTGTTGTGCATTCGTTGAACATAATCGCTTGAGATGCCACAACAGTTTACTCAGGCTTCAAAGCGTGAAACATAAATTAACATTTGGCATTGATATACGGAGCACAGTTTTTGAATTAGGTTCATATGTTACAACATTCTCGCTAAGTCTATCGCTAGATCGCCACAGTCTCTTGTCTAGAGGAAGAAATTGTGTGCGTTCAATATACTCTTAACGTCTAGTGTATGGCTTGGGAGCAACTATTCCTTGCTCCGTGTAGGTAGTTCGTAGTGTTGGTTATGGCGATATATAAGTGTGCCACACTTCTTGTCATTGTGGCATTGTCTAGGGCCCAGTGTCCTGGCGTGTTTGGTGTGGGCTTAGGTATTCCTGTCCCTAGGCTGCCCCATGTACTTCATTGTTGCGCATGTGGTGTGCGTGTGGTCAGTGGCCCCTAACCACGGAGGCCGCGGGTGGGGCGGGGGTAACACGCTAGCAGCTCCGGTGCTGGCTCTATCATGTTAATGATTGTCTTTGTAGTGTGCTGCCCGTTAGTGGTTGTACCGGTGCAGGGTCTTTGCCTTAATGGTGACCCGTTAAGCCAAGGGGAAGTCGTGTGGGTGTATGCCTTACAGAGGTGTCTAGTTGTTTGCTAGTGTAGTTAGAATGCAGTAAACGTTTAAAACAAGTTAAAACCATATTAAATCAAATTAAAACCAAAACAGTAATGGCATCATTAGTAACTCTTGCCTATAGGCTGAAAGGCAGTCATTGGTTGGTTTTCACGTTGCATTTGCGGCATCTTTCTTCTACTGCATCCAACTTGTTGGTCAGGATTGCATGTGAGGCTTTTAATGGGGACACTGTTTCTTTAAGGCCTTTCACTTCTTTTTGGATGTCTATGATGTCCTCTTCTGTAGTCTTCACTTGGTCTGTGACCGCTTGAACCTCTGTTTTAATTAAGGCCATGTCTGCCGCGGACATTTGTTTTAGTTCCATTAGGAGGTTTTTAATGTCCAGTTTAGTGGCTGGTGTTAGTGCATCTGGGTCAGCCTGTGTGTCCTTGGACGGCTGTTGATGCAGGTTGTCCCCAATGGCGGGCTCCGAGCATTTGTAGCTGGTGTCTGGGTCAGGTGTGGCCGCCATTTTTGGGGCTGCAGTGCGCTGGAGCATAGCGCTTATATCTTGGGTATCTCTGCACGCACCTGCTGCTATCCGCTAGGATTTTCGTCCCATGTTTTCCGGGTCCGTGGTTGTGTTCTCTGTGGATGGTAAGGCTATGGAATGGACCGCGTTGTGGAGCGACATTTCGAAGGCCCTGTAGTCTGAGTAGGCCTTGTTTGTGCGGCGTGTTTTCCGTCCTGTCTGACGGTATACGAAGGGCATCGGTCGGTTGAAGGCTTTGCCCCCTTGCTCTCGCTGTTGGTTTTTAGGTTCGTGTAGGTTGTATTGGCAGTATTTGCCATCGATTTGTCTCATTTTTAGCCGGAGCTTGCTTCACTTGCGATTGCTCTGTTCAGTGGCTAAGCTCCGCCCCCTAAATTCTCCCTTTTAGGCATGTGAATGTTGTCCTGCATGCACAATCAAACAAAGCTATATCAATTTCATGTAATTAGTGGAAGCTACGTGCATGGTTAAAGATCCCCCCCAAATATTTGGGGATACCACCTTTTTCCTAAGAATAAAAGGCATATGCAAACTCAATTAGTTTTGTAATGGTTCTTTATGTTTGTCAAGGCTGTAAGTGGTGGAAGACAGCAATATTTACTGTTTTATTTGAACACAATTTTTAAAAATATATTTTCTAGGGAGGACTTGGAGAGCTTTAATAATGTATTCATCTACAGATTTTCCATAGAATATTTGAGTCACTATATTGTCATGATAGTTCTCCTCACAGTTCCATAAAGCACAGTCAGTATAAATAATGGGAGGATTTGTCCTGTGATTTTGCTGTCCTGCTGGCCTATCCCACCCCAGCTCTTAACGTCTGTCATTGCCATCAAGCGTGTTGGACAGATTCTCTCTTGATAGTACAGAGGATAGATTGTGCCTTATAGTACTGATAAAAAGTAGTGGACTATGAGCGATGGTAAGAGCATTGTTTTTTGTCAGACCAGTCCAGATAGTTTGATTTACAACAGGGTAACCTTAGAATTGTCGCAGATAACCACTTCAATAATCTGTAGAGGTTATAGTGCTTAGAGTGTGCCTATAAATACACTTTCTGTAAACTTGGTTTATGCAGTCCTAAAAACAGGGACACAAGAAATCCAGAGCAGCTAAATGACAGTTGTGAGGTATGTTTTGTGTTTTGGGCATGTCAAATGCAAGTTTTTTTGTAGTAAACACCCTCATGTTTTCCTCTGTCTAAACTAAGAGAGAGAAGAGATGAGATAAAGAATCTTCTGATTAAGGAGTAAAATAAGATTTGTATTTGGAAAGGAACAGATTTACCATTGGGTTTTTGGAATATTATGAAGTTTAGGGGTATCTATATCTCAGCTACACTCAGCAAATAATGTGTGTATATAATAAGTAAATGCGCTTACAGGGAATGAAAACTGAGTGTGCAGGTTAATTAAAGCAACCCAAGTAGTTTCATTTATGTTTTTCATGAATGAAATCATTGCTACCTGGTTTGTTGCTCGTTCACTTGGCTTCTCTCCTTTTATGCTCTTGGTGTGTTTTATCTGGGTTTGAATACCCTGTGTTCTGCTAGGTAAATATAGACAGAACCAGTAAGTTGGGTGTCTTGAAGGAGTTAAAGCGGAACTGTCATCGTGTGAGGACTTTGCATAATTTGCAAAGACCCTCAACGTTGACATTGCTGTGAGTTTAGCTTACCTGAACCTGTCCTACTGCAGGATCTTCCACAGATAAAGCCAATTCCTCTTTCAGTGAAATCCCAACACATTCAATATGAGCATTTCATGAAGATACTTATTTTTCAGTGAGGAGTGACAGTGCTGCTTTAAGTCATGTGACCTGACTGACCCATTCTCACAACGTTATTTAAACACAGTATTTACACTGCCATTTTTACCACTGATCTGTAATTTCATTTTAAATAAAATTAGAAATTCTGGCATTCTAAACTTTTGCCTCTTCAATGCTGCTGTTGACGCTGCTCTGTTTACATCACCAAAATACAAATGCAACTGAGTAGCGTTTCTCTATTTATAAATGAGAAAGATTAAATACCTGTCTCCTGCTCTCTCCTATGGGACAGTGCTTTGCTCTCTCCTCCAGCTCTGCTTCACCCCTACTTGATATTTCTTGTCCTAATGTTTCTAATACCCCACCTCCTATAGTCTGTAAGCTCGTTTGAGCAGGATCCTCTTCAACCTATTGTTCCTGTAAGTTTTCTTGTAATAGTCCTATTTATTGTTACATCCCCCCTCTCAAAATATTGTAAAGCGCTACGGAATCTGTTGGCGCTATATAAATGATAATAATAATAATAATAATAATTAACTTTAGCTCACAAAACTGAAAGTAGATCCAGGTTTTACATACCCCAATATTTTAAGAGGCACTTTAGCAGCAGTAATACAATAATTTAATTAAAGAGAAATGGCCACAAAACAAGTAAAATGTGAATGATGACACTTATTGTCTTTGTACGGCTAGTTTCTAAAGTCCTTGCAAATCAAAATATATTGTTAGATCTAGATGGCTATGGTCTTGACAATGGTCTTCTGGCTAGTGGAACAATTTGACTACTTGACAGGGAACACACACACACAGAAAAATAACACAATGTAGATGTATTTTATAGCTTGGTAAGTATTGTATAAGCAATAATGTCTTTATTTTTTTAATTTGTCTTTTAATAATGTCTTACTCAAGACAGGTAAGATACACATAGTTGCAGTGTGAAATCAATATACAATGTGAGGCTGAGTATAGAAAGTAGTCAGATACACATTTGATACAAACAGGCAGAAAATAATGGAGAGAAACAAGTGGAGTATAATTATAACATTCAGGTTCCCATTATATAGACTGCCTCACCCTCCTTCCATTCCCTCCTTCCTCCCAGCGTGTGCTCCCTCCGTTGCCCTCAGTGGTTCTGGGTTGTCAATGTCAATTCTGTAAGTATTTTGCGTCTCTTTCGTCGTGGCATGTTGACAACCGACATATCAAACCCGCTAGCCCAGAGCACACGCATGCACTCTAAGCTTGTTAAACTGACCAATCACATGCTTCTCTATGATTGCAAGGCTCCAGTGACATCGCCGAGGGAGCTTAAGACTTGAGTTCAAGGTGAGTATAACACTATTTTTACAGGTGGTACTGTAAACGGAGAAGGAGACTTTCTCCGTAGTGTCCAACAGCAAATTTTACACCCAGGCCCGGACTGGCCATTGGGCAAACCGGGCAAATGCCCGGTGGGCCGCGATGGCCATGGACCAAGGCCGGTAGGAAAGATCAAGAGATCTCCCCTACCGGCCGATGCGCAGCAGCACCGGCCCCAAGATGGAGTTCTATCCCATCATGGGCCGGAGAGGAGATCGGGCAGTGAGCCGATCACCCTCTGCGCACGCTGAGCAGCTTCCTTTCTCCTCTTCTCGCGAGCTCCGAAATTATCAGAGCGTTGCCATGGTAACCCACGGCAACGCTCTGAAAAAACGGCGCTCGCGAGAGGGAGAGAGAGATGGTCTGTACCCTGCGGGGTACAGACTGAATTACCTGCCGCTGGACCGCCAGGGATGTGTGTGTGGCGTAGCCCCCCCTCACTGGACCACCAGGTATGTGAATGCTCCCTCCCCCCCTGCAAAGTTAAAAGGGGGAGTAAATGGAATTATTATTATTATTTTTTTTAACTTTTTAATAATAATAATAATTTAAGGCCATATACACACACAAACACACCACACATACAAACACACTACACACACTGCACCACTAACACACTACACACACTGCACCACTAACACACACACACACACTGCACTAACACACACACACACACTGCACTAACACACACACACTGCACTAACACACAAACACACACACTGCACTAACACACAAACACACACTACACACATTGCACCACTAACACACAAACATTCTGCTCCCCACCACTAACACACAAAACACACTGCACTAACACACAAACACACACTGCACTAACACACACTGCACACTAACACACACACACTGCACTAACACACACTGCACCACTAACACACACACACACACACTGCACTAACACACACACACAACACACACTGCACTAACACAAACACAGACTGCACTAACACACACTGCACCACTAACACACACACACACCGCACTAACACACACCGCAACATTAACACACACACACACACCGCACTAACACACACACACACTGCACTACACACACACTAACACACAAACACACACTACACACACTGCACCACTAACACATACACACTGCACTAACACACAAACACACACACTGCACTAACACACAAGCACACACTACACACATTGCACCACTAACACACAAACGTTCTGCTCCCCACCACTAACACACAAACACACACTGCACTAACACACAAACACACACTGCACTAACACACACTGCACCACTAACATACACACACACACTGCACTAACATACAAACACACATTGCACAAACACACATTGCACTAACACACACTGCACCACTAACACACAAACACACACTGCACTAACACACACTGCACCACTAACACACACACACACTGCAGTAACACACAAACACACACTGCACTAACACACAAACATACTGCTCCCCTGCACAAACACACACTGCAGTAACACACAAACACACACTGCACTAACACACAAACATACTGCTCCCCTGCACTAACACACTACACACACAGCACCCCCTGCACTAACACACAAACACACTACACCCCCTGCACTAACACACTACACACACAGCACCCCCTGCACTAACACACAAACACACTACACCCCCTGCACTAACCCACAAAAACACTGCATACACTCTATACCCCTACATACACACTACAGCCCCTGCATTAACACACAATACACACTCTATACCCCTATATCCACACTGCACCTCCTGCACATACACACAAACACACTACACACACTCTATACCCCTTATATACACACTAGTCCCCTGGCACTCACATACACACACTCTATACACCATAAACCTACACTACACTACACTCCCTGCACTCTCATACATTATACCCCTACTAACACACACATTACACCCCCTGCATGCACCCACACTAATTTATATTGCCTATAAATACATATTCTGCACCCCCTGTACACACTACACCACCTATGCATACATTATCCCCCTATACACATGTGCTCTACAGCTCCTATATGCATACACACACTAGAGCCCCTAGATACACTCACAAACACACAGTACAGCTCCTTACATGCACACACTCCACAGGCCCTATATAAATACACACACACAAACACACATACTTTACAACCCAGAGAC